AGTTCAAGTGGACTTTGCAATCTAGCGCATTAACCAACAACGCCACACCAGGACTCCTCTTACCTATAACAATAGGAATGAGTAAAATCACTGTTAAATATTGCATCTAATCAGTCTTTCTTTAATAGACATTTAGATTGCTTCAACTTATTATTAGAAATAATTTTGTAATAAATATGCGTATTCACTTATGCAAATCCATAGACTACTTGCCTAAAAGATTTTTAGATTTAAATGGAATATACATGTAGCATGTTGAAAAATATTGCTTATATGCTCTACATAACAATTATACAAATTTATACTCTGATGTATTTTCTTTGATTTCAAGTTGGGTTAGATACACATGCTCTTATTATTTTTAGGAAATACAAATATGAGAAAAGAATATTTATGCTTTAGTGAAGCACTCAGACTCAACTCTATTTCTTCATAATTGAAGTGGGTCAGATGATGGACTTCGTTTTTTTTTTTTTTTGCCTTGAACGAACAGAAATTTATTGCCACAGTTCAGGAGGCTGTAAGTCCAAATTCAGAGTATCACACTAGGGGAAAGCTTTCTATCTCTGCCAGCTCTGAAGAAAGGTCCTTGTCTCCTTTCAGCATTTGTGCGCCCAGCATTCCTTGATCTTCACGCATCTTGGCATCAAGCTTCTTCTGTATTTAGGAGGTTCACAGTGTCCCAGATTCAAAGCACACACTCCAATCCACGCTCTTCTTTCTAGGTGGTAGTAGGTTCCTCTGAGGTCTGCTTGCAACATTTAACCTCTTGTATATCTCACAAGAGATTACTCAAGATACAACTGAATCCTATAGATTGCACCTGGCCTTATTAACTTGACTGAAGTGAAGATTTATAGAACACACAGGATAAATTACACCATATCAGGGTTGGTCATACCCGATTACATCACGGGTGAGGGTGATCACATTATCACATAACCGCTGAACACTGAGACTCATGACTCAGCCAAGCTGACACATACTTTTGGGAGACACAACTTAATCCATTCATGTTCCAAGAATTTCTTTTATAGCTTTAAAGAAAAAACTTTTATCACGAATTGAATGAAAGTTAACAGACAAGATCATCAGCTTTGAATTCAACAAATTATATGCTTTGCTTCATCTCAATGATTACAATCACCTCCCTGCGATGCTATCCTATTTCTCCCCTGTGCCTTCCCTTTTACATCTTACATTTCACAAATGAACAAAGCAAAAATATTTGCTGTACACATACAAAACAAAAAATATATGAGTGTGAGTCAAAAATTATCAGTACTGGAGCTGTAGAATTTAATTCATTTTTGGAAAGACAAATAATTCATTTTTCAACATAGTGTCCTTGCTATTAAATACTTTGTTCATGTGTCAACAAGCTTTTGTATTCCCTTATTAAAAAATGTTTTATTCTGAGATGCAAGCCACAAATGCATTGCTATCTTTCCTTCTTCATCAAAGTGAATCTTCATCCTTGAAAGACAGCTTTCAGGGGACCCAACAGGTAAAAGTCTGATGGAGCAAGATCAGGGAGAATGCCTTAACACCTCAAAATCAAGCTTTTGCTAACTGTCAGTAGTGTGGACAGAGGTGTGAGGACGTGCATTATCATGCCAGAGCACAATGTCCTTTGAGAGCAATCCTCTGAGTTTAATTCCAGTTTAGACTTCAGTGAGCATTTCACTATAATGAGCACTGCTGATTGTTGAAACTTTTTCCTGATAGTGTTCCAAAACTGTCCTTTGAGAATCCTAGAAAACTGTAAGCATCAATTTTCCAGCTGATGGTTGATTTTTGAGCTTTCTTGGTCGACAATTGAGGATGTTTCTATTCCAAACTCTTATTCTCAGGCTCTTAGTGATGATCCATGTCTTGTCACCAGTCATGATTTTTAAACCTACCTTCAAATATTTGTCCAAATTTTGTTTACAGATGTCCAAACACTTCGTTCACGCTCTTTCATGAGTTGTTTCAGTACCCATCTAGCACAAACTTTTCAAAACCCAAGTGTGTCATGGATTATTTCATAGGCAGAGAGCTATGGCTGATTTGCAAATGATTTGCCACATAATCCAGTCACTCATCTATTTGGCAGAATCATTTCACATGCACGCTCTATGTTATCATCAGCCATGGACAAGGATGGGCATTTTAATATAACCAGAGTGGGGATTCTCTGCTATTCATAAGGTTTTCATTGACTAAATATTCGGAAGTAGTTCGTCTCTCTTTCTTCCTTCCTCTTTCTTTCTGCCTTCATCTGGAAGCTCATCTTACATCTGTCCACCATGAGTGACCCTACTAATATTTAGAATACCCGTGGCATAGTTACCAGAATGACAGCAACTCACTAGCCACCAGAGTATGACAAACTGACCAACAAGTGGTGGCTGGTGTCCAAAGAATACGAGAAAGATGCTTACCTGTGCTTTATTGACTACACAAAGGCTTTGGATTGTCTGGATCATGACAAACTATGAACAACATTGCAAAGTATGAGTATTCCGGAACATTTAATTGTGCTCATGAGGAATCGGTACATGGACCAAGAGGCAGTTATTTGAACAGAACATGGGAACACTGAATGGTTTAAAATTAAGAAAGGTGTGCGACAAGGTTGTATTCTTTCACCATGCTTATTCAACCTGTATGCAAAGCAAATAATCTGAGAAGCTGGGTTATATGAAGAAAAATGTGGCATCAGGATTGGAAGAAGATTCATTAACAACCTGCGATATGCAGATGATACAACCTTGCTTGCCAAAAGTGAAGAAGACTTAAAATACTTACTAATGAAGATCAAAGAGCACAGCCTTCTGTATGGATTGTATCTTAATGCAAAGAAAACAAAAATCCTCACCACTGGAACAATAAACAACATTGTTCTCAACGTTTCGAGAAAAGACTAAAGTTGTCAAGGACTTCATTCTTCTTGGATCAACTATCAACACTCATAGAAGCAGCTGTCAAAAAATCTAAGGACATATTACATTAGGTAAATCTTCTGCACAAGGCCTTTTTAAAGTATTGATGAGCAAAGATGTTAGATTGAGGACTAAGGTGCACCTGACCCAAGCCATGGCATTTTAAATAACCTCATATGCATGCGAAAGCTGTATGGTGAATAAGGAAGACCGCAGAAGAATTGATGTGTTTGAGTTATGGTGTTGGAGGATATTGAAAGTACCATGGTCTGCCAAAAGAACAAACAGATCTTCTGTTGGAAGAAGTGCAGCCAGAGTGCTCCTTGGAGGTCAGGATAGCCAAACTTCATCTCTAATATTTTGGACATATTGTCAGGAGGGACCAGTTGCTAGAGAAGGATGTCATGTTTGGTAAAGGTGGAGGGTCAGAAAAAAGAGGAAGACCCCCAGTGAGATGGATTGGCAAAGTGGCAGCATCAGTGGACTCAATTGTGAGGTTGGCCCAGGAGTGGGCAGTGTTTCGTTCTGTTGTGCATAGGGTCGCTACCTACTCAATGGCACTTAACAGTAACAAGAGTGAGGATAAGTTTTGACTCACCCTCATATATATATTAAAATGTCCTAAGGGGACATTCTGCAAGTCAGTCTCCTGCCCACAGGCACACAGCCTTACTCAGTTCATGGGCCTAGAGCCTAAGCCACTCCATCTCTCCATGCCATCACCTCTGCCACCATCTCTTCTGTCACCGCTTTTCTAGGTAGGAAGTCATGCTCTACTCATGCTCTTCCTTCTTGATTGTCCTGGGATCTTACACTAATGGAACTTGGGTTCAAGTCCCAACTATGGCACTGTGTGATCTTGAACAGGTTATTTAAGTCTTCATAAGAACATTATGCTTGGTAAAGTAAAAGGTCAGTGAAAAAGAGGTAGACCCCCCCCCCCTATAAGATGGATTGGTATAGTGATGGCAATAATGGGCTCACGCATAATACTAATTGTGAGGATGGTGCAGGACCAGACAGTGTTTTGTTCTGTTGTGCATAGTGTTGCTATGAGTTGGAGCCTACTCAACGGCACCTAACAACAAAGTTTTGATTTATGTATCTGCACAAGAGGGAAATCACGCTGTTGTTTAGTGCCATCAAGTTGTTTCAGATTCATAGTGTTCCTGGAAAGTATTTCCAAGAAGTGGCAGGTGGGTTTGAATTGCTGACCTTGCAGTTAGCAGTCCAGTGCTTATCCTATAGCACCATACTGTGCCTACTATGTTGTTGTTGTGAAGTGCCGTCAGGTCGATTCTGACCCATAGTGACTCTATATGGGGTTTCCCAGGAGCATTTGGTGAGCTTGAACCGCCAACCTCGTAGTTCAACTGGCTTTGCAGTCTAGTGTCTTAACTCATAGCGCCATACCAGGTGTTGTTAGGTGCCATCAGACTGATTCCAACTCATAGTGACCTATGTAAACAGAACAAAATACTGCCTGGTCCTGTACCATCTTCACAAATACTGTTATCCTTGAGCCAAAATGTTTATTGACGAGCCTGACGAAAGGATGAGCTCAATAACTCATACAGTATGACTTCTGATTAACAACAAAAGCCCATAGCTATTTATATCGCTAAAAATTTATAGTAACACCAAAAATCCCGAGCAGCAGACTGATTTTCATTTTCTTTTACAGTTTCATAATATAAAATGTTCACCAAACCCCTTACATTCATGAAGTATTGATCTGTGGGTAAGTATCTTAGAGAATATAAAGCTCTAAGGAAGGAACTTAAATAATGAGAGTAGGATTTAGTTTGATCAAATTGTAATGCTATTATGTACTTCTGTACTTATAATAAAATGAAAGAATTTCTAAGACAGCATTTTCATAATGATGGGTGGCAGTTTATAAATACTACTTCAAGTATTCCTTTTAATAGATTCTAAATACCAAATTTCCTAGAGGTAGTATCACCTTACAACTCCAACATTTATAGGAAAATTATAACATATTCAATCTGAGTCATGAAAAACAAAACAAAACAACAAACATTTAAAATAGACATCACAAAATGTATCTGCAGTTTAAAGGTCAAATTTATTAGGAGCTTAAGAGATGCATTATACATGGACTATAAATACTGCACAGCTGACTGACTATTCACAGTCAAGTACTGAGATATAGTCAGTGCCAACCTATTTTGTGGATACCCTTGTTCTTTTATTCCAAGAAAAGTTTGCACCATAAGACTTGGACTTGGGTTTCGGAACCTTTCTCTCATCAATGTAATAGCTCCAACCTGGAAAAGAAAACATAGCAACAGAATTAAAGAAGATACCTTAAGAACACAGCAAGCAGAGGTGAACTTTTACAAATTTAGTGTTCATTTGTCATCAGGAATAAATGTCAACACATCTGAAATATAAATACTTACTTAGTAATTTGTTCCCTTACAATGCTGTATGACAAGAGGGTCCTGAACACTGCTTGAAGATGATTTATTACATCTAGAATTAAAGGTGTAACCCATGACTCTGTTTCTCTTTGCTCAGTTCTCCTTTCTCAATTACTGAAGTGTATATAGGAGTGCTGGTGGTGCTGCAGATAAGCACTGGACTGCTAGTCATAAGGTTGGCAGTTCAAAGCCACTAGCCACTCTGGACGAGAAAGATGAGAACTTCTGTTTCTGTAAAGATTTACAGCTTTGGAAACCCTATACTGGGTTGCTCTGAGTTGGAACTGACTTGATAGTACCTAACAGTATGCAACATGTAAAAATTTCCATTTCTTTATGAGGATTAACACGGGACTTAAGCCCTGATTAATGTAGCCTGTTTGGCTGTTCTAAAAGTGGGTATCTTTACAACATTTTAGAGTTCATCTGAAATGAAACAGAAATACATATACATAGAATCAAAGAAGTGGAGTGGACCACAGGACATATCTAGTTTGGCCTCCTGGACTTTGACAGACGAATGATTAAACTAAAAAACTTTTCAACATTGTTTCAAGAACTACCTTCATTAAAATCACAAGGAAGATTATATGATAAGAATGCAAATTCTTAGGCCTCACCAAAGGTTCACCGAATCAGAATTTTTTTGCTAGGATTCTGCATTTAACTACCAGCCCCAGGAGCTTTTTAAGTATAGAAATTTCAGAACCGATAGCAGAGGAAATTGAGACATAGAAAAGCTATTAGCATCAAGATGTAAAACACAGAAACAGGAGTCCCTGTTTTTAACTGCTGCTAAAATCCTATACTGGGTTGCTATGGGTTAAAACGGACTCATCGGAACTTAACAACAATGCTATTTATAGTATTTATATGCAATCTGTGTAGTTTATACCAATTGGAAATGTTTCAATAAGTAGATGCAGCACTGGAGATACTAACTTATCTAAGCCAAGAAATTTAGAAGAGAGCTACCTCATCAGGCAATTGGAAGTGACCCATATTCATGCCCATTCCCAAGAACAGTGATCCAAAAGAATGCATAAATTACTGAACTACATCATTAACATCACACACAAGTAAATTCTGCTGAAGGTAATTAAAAAATGTGTTTGCTGCTGTTGTTAAATGCCGTCAAGTCAATTCCGACTCATAGCGATCTTGAACAGCATTTCGGAGCAGCAACTGGAGGGTTTAAACTTCTGACCTTGTGGGACTTATACATAGAGTCAGTCATCCCAACAAAACATGGTTTAATATCAGGAAAGGTGTGCATCAGGGTTGCATGCTTTCACCACACTTAATCAAGTAGACTGCATGAAGAAGAATGTGGCATCATGATTGGAAGAAGACTCATTAACCTGCAATATGCAGACGACCTACCCTTGCATGCTGAAAATGAAGAAAACGTGAAGCACTTGTTGATGAAGATCAAGCATTCAGTGTGAAATATACAGAAAACAAAAATCCTTACAACTAGACCAGTGAGCAACATCATGATAAATGGGAAGATATTGAAGCTATATATGATTTCATTTTATTTGGATCCATAAACAATGCCCAATGATTGACAAAAAATTCTCACAATTGGCCCAATAAATAACATCATGATAAATGGAGAAAAGATTGAAATCGTCAACAATTTCACTTTGCTTGGATTGCTTGGATCCACAATCGATGATCATGGAAGCAGCAATCAAGAATTAAAATGACGTGTTGCATTAGGCAAATCTGCCACACAAGGTCGCTTTAAAATATTCAAGGGCAAAGATGTCAGCTTGAGGACTAAGGTGTGCCTCATCCAAGCCATGGTATTTCCAATAGTTTCATATGCATTAGAAAGATGGACGATGTATAAAGAAGACCACAGAAGAATCAATGCATTTGAATTATGGTGTTGGTGAAGAATATTTAAAGTGCCATGAACCATCAGAAGAACCACCAAATCTTTGTTGGAAAAAGTACAGTCAGAATGCTCCTTAGAAGCCAGAATGGCAAGACTTCATCTCACATACTTCAGACATGTTATCAGGAGGGATCAGTCCCTGGAAAAACACATTATGCATGGTAAAGTAGAGAATTAGCGGAAAAGAGATCTCCAACAAGATAGACTGGCAGTGGCAGGAGCAATGGGCTCAAGTATAACAACAAATTTGAGGAAGGTGAATTGGGCAGTGTTTTGTTCTGTTGTGCACAGGGGCACTACAAGTTAGTTTCGACTCAAAGGCACCTACCAACAACACAGGATTTCATTTTATTTGGATCCACTATCAATGCCCATGGTAGCAGCAGCTAAGAAATAAAAAAACTGACCAGAAGCACTAGATGGTGCCCAGCTACCACTAACTGCTCTGAAAAAGTTGAAATGGAACAAAAGTTGCAATTATGGGGTGGGAAGACCAGACTTACTGGTCAGAAAGAGACTGGAGGAGCCTGAGATTATGGTCCTAGACCACCCTTACGGTCTGGAAAGGAACTTACCCTCGTGGCCCAAGTTTCAGCCAACCAGTAGATAGGTATATAGGGGAAACAACAACACTAGTAAGGTATACTCACTATGAATGATGGAACAGTCTATCATCCAAATTCAAAGGAGCAACATGTACCTAATGACAAAGGTAAGAGGGGATGGGTGGAATGGAGATGGGGGTCACAGGGAGGAAGCAGGATAACTGTTTTTCCATGAAGGACTGCAATCATTGAAATGAAATGAAATGTACCGAATGTAAAACTGATGATCTTGTCTATAAGCCTTCATTTAATGCACAATAAAAAGTAAAAAACAAAAACCACTGTATTGCATTGGACAAATCTGCTGCAAAAGAGCTCTTTAAAGTGTTAAGAGCCAAGATGTCACTTTGAGGACTAGGGTGCATCTGATTCAAGCCACATCTCAATAACTTCATATACATATGAAAGCTGGACAATTAAAAAGGAAGACCAAAGAGGAATGGACACATCTGAATTATGATGCTGCTGAACACTAAATATACCATGGACTGCCAGAACAAACATATCTGTATTGGAGGAAGTACAGTCAGTGTAGTGGTTAGGAATCCGGCTGCGAACCGCAAAGTCAGCAGTTCAAAACTACCAGCTGTTCCTCGGGAGAAAGATGAAGCTTTCAGCTCCCGTAAAGATTTACAGCCTTGAAAACCCTGTACAGGGTTGCTATGGGTCGGAACCGACTCCACAGCACTTAACAACAACAACAACAACAGACAGAATACTCTTTAGAAGCAAAGATGGTAAGACTTTTGTCGCATACACTTTAAACATGCTATCAGGAGGTACCAACCCCTGGAGAAAAAACATGATGCTTAGTAAAAGGTCAGCAAAAAAGACAAAGTTTTCTCAAGGAGCTAGACTGACACACTGGCTGCAATATAGCTATAGTTGTGAGGATGGTGCAGAACCAGCAGTGTCTTGTTCTGTTGTACGTATGGTCACTATGAGACAGAACCAATGAGATGGCACCTAAAAACAACAACACAGGGTATAGTATATAGCAGTCTGGTGTGCATCCCACAGTGCCATGCCAGGACTCCTTGGTATTGGTAGGGTCTCAAACGTAACAGCAGTTGTGAGCAAGACCAGGCAATGTTTCATTCTGTTGCACATAAGGAAACCATGAGTTGGAACTGACCAATCAGTACCTAATAACACCTGGCTCCCAATACACAATCTCCAGTCCACAAAAGACATATTTACAATACCTGAGGTATGAAAATAGTATTAAGATTTAAAATATTATTTTGAAAAAAAAAAAACATTTTAGATTTAGACAGGGAAGCAGTCTGTGTGAAAGTAACATTTGAAGACCTGAATGACATCAGGAAGTGAGTTATCTAGGAAAAGAGCTTTCAGGCAAAGAGAACAGCAAGTTCAGGAGGCAAGAGAGTGTCTGCTCTACTATTGCTAGGTTTTGTGCTAAGCGTTTTAAATGTACTCTTTTGAGTTTATACGCTGTTTGCTTTTAGAAAGCATGCATGTATTTACCCTAATTTTGTAATTACTTATAGGGAAAAAAATAAAGCATAGAGAAGGTGCAACAAGCAGCTCAAACCCAAGATTTTAACCAAGTAGACTTTAAAGCTATGCAACCTAAACATCAAAATTAACTTCTTTTAAAATACTGTGTAATTCTGACTTTTATCTAGTTCACCTATTTAATCTCAATCTGTGTCAATTTGTAACTTGATTTTTTTATTATTATTAAAAAAAAATCTTGAAATGTCTTTAAAAAAAATCCCTGGAAAATAAGTTTGGCTCCCTACATGTACTTCCCCTGAACTGTTGTTGTTGTTAAGTGCCGTGGAGTCAGTTCCGACTCATCCTGACCCTGTACAGGGTTTCTGAGGCTGTAAATCTGTATGGGAGCAGAAAGCCTCTTTTTCCCATGGAACAGCTGGTAGTTTTGAACTGCTAACGGTGCGATTAGCAGCCCAATTTGTAACCTATACTAGAATTAATGGTTTCTAGTACAGGTTCTTTGACTGTCTGGTTATAATGATCACTGGCAAGTTACCTAAGACCTCCAGGATCTTCTCTTATCAACTGATGGGTAGAGGAATCCATTTCCCCCCCTCTTCCCACTGGCTCCCAATACACAATCTCCAGTTCACAAAAGACATTATAAGAAAAACTGAAGTTTTTAGCAACAGGCGTTATATACAAAAGTTTTCTGGGTGCAAGTAGTTTGCAAATGGCTGCTAACTGAAAGTAGATGGAGCACTCACCCAGAGGAACAAATGAAGAAAGGCCTGGTTATCTGCTTTTGTAAAGTTCACAGTCTGGAAAACCCTACAGTATAATAGTTCTAATTCTGTGACACATGGGTATGA